CAGGACTTGAACTGCGGTCGACTACATGGGAATCCAGCGACATAGCCACTACACCAACTGCTGGTCCCCCAATAAATATTTTTTTTAAAAAGGCAAGAAAAACCATGGAGGAACTTCAAATACATATAACTAAGTGGAAAAAGTTAGTCTGAAACAGCTACAGACAGGGCTAGCCCCACAGCCTCAGGTGAAGGGAGCCAGATCCTGCGTGACCAACCATGGTTAGATCCCAGCCCCAGCGGGTTGAAAAACATGAGGAGGGAATCAGCAGATGGCATAACGGTTATGTCACTAGATTCGCGTGTAGTTGACCACAGATTGAGTCCCAGATCCAGCGGCCTAAAACTTAGGCCAGGCGCATGTACGTGCCCAAACTCCCAAAAGGAGAAGGTATTAGGGTGGGACCATCCACCCTGGGGGTGATTTCTTGTTTCTTGTCTCTCTCTCTCTCCTGTGAGAGCACGTGACCTATAGTAAAAAATCGCTCTCTAAAAAAAAAGGAAAGAAAGAAAGAAAAGAGAAACACGTGGGACACAAGTATGTGGTGGCCCCGAATCTCGAAGGGTAGAGAAACGGAGAAAAGGACTGCAGAGTAACCACGCCCACCAGAGAGGTCTTTCTCTCATTTATGAATGCACATGTCCTCTGGCAATAAATGAATGGATAAAAACACTAAAAAGAAATATCAAAAATCATAAAATAGCCTCATGGTTGGCAGGGCTGAGAGGAGGTGAGAATTGGTAGGAAGGGACCTTTCTGGGAGGAGGTGGCGACGTTCTGGAGTTAGTGGTGGTGGCTGTACGTTGTGAGTATACGGAGAACCACTATTTTGTAACTTTACAAGGAGGACATGATTACATATGTGGATATCATGGTGCAGTGGCAATGTGCTTCCCCAGCAGCTCAGATCCTACATGGCAACCACGGTTCACATATTCACCCCAGTTCACCTACGATACACGGACACGGGTGTGAGCACCCAAGATCCTACAGGCTGGGGGACTGGAGAGAGGGGCTCACAATGTGACTAGACCCTGTGGAGGGTGCTTCTCTCTCGCTCATGGGTGCACATGCTCTGTGGTCTTAAAAAAAAGAACAGTGTCAGACCAATAGCTCAAATCCCACTTCACAGAGTTTTGTAACTTTAGAACACCTCTCAACCTCACTCATGCTCAGAGTCCTCCCTGTAAAGCAGATATCAAAAGAGAATTCTCTTTAGGGATGTTGCGAAGATTCAACCTAATTAATGCGAGTTCTTCACCTCAAGAAAGCATGCTAAGTTTCTAAAGAGAATGGATGTAAATGATTGAGACCGGCAACAATTTACACACCTACAGAGGTAGGCGGAGGTGCCCGGGGGCAATTCTGAGTTCTAATGCCAAATATTGACTCCCCTGCCTTCCAAATTTTCCGTCTCTCCTCTAAGTCTGTCCCCCCAAGCTCCCTGAAAGGACCCCTGGAGAAAGAACAAGGCCCTTACCTCGTGAACAGGACACACAGGGGGTGCAGCGGCCAGACTCACTCAGGTAGTAGTCGCGCTCACACTGCTTGGTGCAGTCAGCAGACGTCTGCGGGCACGGATGCATCGGGGACAGTCCTGGGGAAAGAAGCAGAAAAGCTCTAGGCCAGGCCATCTTGGCAAAGGCTCCTGCCCCCCCAGGCTCCACTTCTCCCTAAATCCCTCCCAGCTCCAGCCTCAGCCTCCCAAACATAGCAGTCCACCTCTTACATTACAGATGGAGGCACTGACGCCCAGGAGGGGCAACCCTTGCCTAAGCTCACCTAGCAGGCAGAAAAGGCAGCACTGGTGTGAGAAGAGCCTGCCAGGCTGGGGATCCTAAGGCTGCCACTTGCCAACTGTGGCCTTGAGCAAAGTACAACGGCCTCACTTGCACTCTGAAGTTGATAACATACTGCCTCCTACTGCTGTGCTGAGCAGTCCCTGCCACCCAGAAAACACTGCATGAGTGCTGGTTGTCAGCGTTATCAGCAGGGGTCCTATTTCACTCCAGGAACGCAAGGAACCTCACCCGGCCTGAGGCCTGCCAAATCACCTCGCAATCTCTGCCTCCCCTTGCAAGGGGCAGGAGATGCAGGAGTTGATACTGACAGGGTCTGTAGGGCCTTTGGCCTGCCATGCCACACTCTGTCCAGGCACGTTTCAGCCAGGATACCTCCAACAGCTTGCTTCCATGATGAGCACATGACTCCAGCAGGCCAATCAGAATACTCTATTTTCCTCAACATTGTGACTAGTTCATTGTGGACACATGACCCAGGCATGCAGTCAATGAGCCCATCTTTGAGGGTTTCAAAATAGAGGTCTGGAAAGAAGTCTTCTTCCTACCAGATTCCTGGTTGAAAGAACCATTTCAGCCCAGAGTTGTCCAGGTCATCACTGCTGCAGCGTGGGCAATGGCAGGACCTGCCCAAAGCCAGCAGAGTCCAGAGATGGGGAGAATCGGACTCCTGAGGACACAGTCCAAACCTCTGAATTTAGGGTGCCCTCTGGTATTGTGCCTATTAGTTCTCTTTTGTCCTGTTTGGGCCTAAGAAGAGTTAGGCTTCTGTTAGTTATGCTAGAAGGATCTAGGGGTTTCCAGTATTTCTTTGGCATATCTGCAGCAATTGTAATATGATATGAGAGCATCTGTGGGCCCAGCCATGGAAGCATGTGTTTTCTAAGACACTGTGCTCCTCAGGGAGCATTGGGTTCGATTCCCAGTCCAATCTCAAGGCCGGGCACTGTGGCATACACCTGCAGACTCAGTGACGGGGAGACAGAGGCGAGTGGTTTCCAAGGCTGGCCTGTGACATGGCCAAGCCCTTTCTAAAAGTAGCTGGCCATGCCTGCAGTGCCCGCTGGGAGGCTGAGACGGGCGATCGTGACCTGTAAGACTTTGTCTTAGGGAAAAAAAACCATGGGAAAGAATGTCTGTGGTTTCTGTTGATGACAAAACTGTGTATGACAATTACTGCTGTGCCCTGTTGCCTTAATTCATGACGGAAGGTTCATTCGAGTTCATGGTTCCCCTGAGATTGCCCTTGGAAGTCCATGGACCCCAGGGTTATCGTCCCTGCTTCAGAATAATATGCAAGGACCTCTCAAAAATACCAGCAGCCCAGGGGCCAGCTGGTGGTGTGGTGGTTAAGGCAGCTAGATCTCACACATGACTGAACAGTTCAAGTCCCAGTCCCAGCCACTGGAAAAACATGCCAGGGGTGTGTGTGTGTGTGTGTGTGTGTGTGTGTGTCCCTAAAATCCTGAGATGATAATGAAGAAGGGACTGCAGCATGGCCATGTCCCCCCAGGGGGTGATTTCTCACTTTCTGTCTACTTTCTCTCTCTCTTTCTGACTCTGGCAAGCACATAAGCCTTAAAACAGTTTTTAAAAAGAAAAAAAAAATGTAGTGAAAAACCTACTATGTGCCAAGCCCTGTGCTCAGGTCTAGGGAGCCTGCAAGAAGACAGATGATGAGCAGGTCATGATAGGCAGAGAAAGGGGTAGGAAAGTGGGACCCAGAGCAGACATCTGAGCTGGACGGTGGTCAGGGAGAGCCTATGGTGAGGTCAGGCCTGAGGAATGAGGAGGACTTGGTCACGCACAGACAGAGGGTAGAAGGGGGCCAGAAGACTCTGCAAGGGGGTGACCCATGGAATGAAGTCTCAGAGGGCAAAAGGGGGCCCAGCACACTCGACTAAAGCCCAGAGTTCAAGAGGAACAGGAGTGCTAGAGGGTCGGCGAGGGCAGCAGCTCTCACGCCAGCTGTGGGTGCAGGTGCAGAGCTGGGCTTTCTTCAGGGGCAATGGGAGCCAGGAGACCCCCCGAAGTCCTCCTCCACCTCCTTCCTGCCCGAAGCCCTTGGAGGAACCCCAGTTTCTGGACAGGATGGATTGTACCGCCTGGCCCCAAACAAGCCATGTTCTCTGCCTAACACGGGCCATGTCCCCACACCTGGGCAGGCCTCAGACATCTGCAGGGGCACCCCTTCCTGCAGGGAGGGCACAGGGGGAGGGCGGCTCAGGAGGCAGGTGGAGAACAGGAAGGAGTCTGCGGCTCCCCACAGGCTCTGCTCTCCTGCCTCCACTGCAGCAAATAGGGGGAAGGGTCAGGCTTTTGCGAAGAAGCCCAGGTTCCAGTCCCTGCTGAGCTTACTGGTACATGACCTGGGCAAACCCTGACCCCCTCCAGTCCCAGTGTCCTCCCTGGGTTTCCCATCAGGATCCCAGGGACTGACGCAGTGAAGGGCTGAGTGTAGGAGCCAGGACACAGCGAGTTCCTGTGTGGGAGTGGCGGCGGTTGCTGTGTGGCCGCGCGTGAGCTGCTGGCCAGGGAGGTATGGAAGCAGAGGGCTGGGGACCGGCTGTCCGCAACACCTGACATCACAGATCTGGGAGAGACCACAGGTTTGATGCCATCTACACTTCTCTATATCAAAGGTCTCCCAGCTTCCTGCCTCTCCCAGCAGCCCGCCCACAGAGGAGCCGGCCACATGGCCCAGAGCGCTGATTGCAGGTAAATGTCAGAAATTTCCCCGAGAGACAGAGGGAGGGTTTTGTGGGTTTTTCTTCTTTTTTTTTCCCCATATAGAACTGCCCGGAAGCACAGGGTCAATAAACTCCAGCAAAATGCCCCGTCCACCACACCAGCAGGGGATATGCCGCCTCTCAGCACTGGGCCTTGGGGATGAGGAGGGAGAGGCAAGGCCTTCCTAAGCCACAGCTTAAAGTGGAGGGGGCCCCGGGCAGGTGTCACACTCTCTCTGGGGCAGGCTGGTGGGTCTCCTGGGAAGCCACAGAGCACTGTGGAGCATGGCACTGGGAGAGGAAGGGTGAGAATCCTGACGAGCACCCAGGAGGAGGCGCTGGTGAGGGAGGGCACCTGGAGGAAGGGACGCTGGGACTGGGCACAGTGGGGACGGGAGGGCAGGGATGTCCAAAGGCCCAGAGACTGGGAGGTGAGCAGCAGCTCCTGTAGAAAGGCCTAAGGGGAAAAAACTAGAAAGCGACAGTATCAGAATGAGCAATAACCGTCCACAGGAGGGAAGAGGAGGTGAGGGATGGAAAGGGTGACAGTGGATGGAGGACAATGGGAGGGAGGGGGAGAGGGTGGTGCTATGAACTAAACGGTGTTCTGCCCCCCTTCACCCAAATTCATGATTTTAGCAGAGGGAGGTGCTGGGGGACCCTGAGATGGGGCCTGAGCTATCATAGAGATGAGGCGACACCCCTTTGGAAATAGGGCTTTTAGGAGGTAATTAGGTTAACCGAGGTCATAAGGGTGGAGCCCACAGGATTGGTGGTCTTACACGGAGAGACCTCCCACCATGAGGAAGTGGCCATCTGCAAACCAGAAAAAGAGCCCTCACCAGAAACCAGACCCTGCTAGAACCTTGACCTTGGACCTCGGAGCCCCCAGAGCCGTGAGAGCAAGCCTCTGCTGTCTGTGCCACGCCGTCTACAGCGTTTTGTTACAGCAGCCCAAGCAGACTAAGACCCACGAGTGGTGGGCAGGGGCCGGGTGGGAGGGGAGACTGGGTAGGAGCTGGGTGGATGGAAGAATGAGCAGGGGGGAGCTGGCCAGTTAGCACCGAAGGCCCGAGCACTAACAGGCACACAGGGACCCACCTGACCTATCATTTGAAACCACACAATAAAGGTGAGAAAGCCCAATAAAGTCCTACTTCTCCCTCTACAATAATTGCTTGGAATCATTTTTGGAAAAAGAGGATATACAATTCTTTCCCAAAGTGTTTCTGTCTTTCGGCAGCCTGAGCAGGATTGGGTCAGAATCTCGTGTTTGCCATAAAGAGGCCACGAGTCTAGAACCCAGCATGTCCGCCCTGTTCTGGCCACATATCCTGATGACCTTGTGCATCACAGCCATCACCACCCTCCAGGCAGCGCAGCTGAGAGCATTGGACATTGGGTAGACAAGCCCCCTCCTCTCCTCCCCACCACCAAGGAGCTCTCCAGACAACACTCACCTACCTCCAATGGCCTGCGGGTCACAGCAAGTGGCAGTTATGATGAGCCAGTCACATCCAGAGACTCCCTCCCAACTCTGCTGGCATAACTAATGTCTTTCCTCCCCTGGGACAGTCTCTGTTCCCAGAGACTGTTCAGAGACCACAGCTCATCTTTATCTCATGTCCACCCATCTAGGACCCCTGGATTCAACTGGGGACTTCCGATGACAACCATGGGGGAAAGAAATGCCTCATGACTCTATTCTGGTTGCTTACCCCTGTGGCCTGAGGATATCTGCAGAATGGGAATAATGCCACTCATCCCTGTTCTAGAGGGGTTCCTGCCCATCTAGTAGGAGCCAGTCACGTGTGGGTGAGCCTTCCAGGAAGTCCCCTCTGAGCAGAGAGGTAGGTCCCAAGAGACCTACGGCCCAGGATGTCCTGGGACACGCGTATGTTCTGGACTGGAGCACATGAGCATTGCAAAGGGCTTCCAGGCACCAGAGTGAGGGGCTATTGGGGACATTGATAGCTCAGACAGTGGCGTCATGGACTCCAGGGCTCCAGGCCGGGCCGGCTCTGCCATTTCCCAGCTCTGTGACCCTGGGCAAGTTACTTAACCTTGCTGAGCCCAACAGCCTCATCTGCAAAATGGGAACAGTAGAGGGAAATGTGAGCACTTGGTGAGACGCGAGCTCCAAGACAGGCCTCCTTCCCTGCAGCAGCAACAAACCCGGTGTCCCTGCTCTACTGGCCCTACCATTCCCGGACGGTCCCCAGATCCTGTGACATCGGGGTGGCCTTTGGAAACCTGTACCTAATTATGACAACGATTGCTGCTCTACTTTCTCCACTCATCAATCCACAAGGACTGTATCTTAAAGACAAAAATCACCCCCCCATTTTCATTTTCTTGTTTTTGTTTTGTTTTGTTTTGTTTTTTGCTATAGGGCATGTGAGCTTACCAGAGAGAGACAGAGAGAAAGAGAGATAGGGAAAGCAAGAAATCAACCCCCAGGGGGTCGGCTACACCACATTCCCTTCTCCTAGGTGCCCGGCATATTTTCCAAGCTACCAGGTCTGGGCCTCAAACCGGGCACTCGGCCAAGTGCAGTCCAGTCGACCTAACTACCGTGCCACTTGACTGGCCCAGAAAATCCCCTTTGTCCTTATGCCCTAGGCCCCACTCACCCGAGGGGCAGCGGTAACAACACCTCCCGGCAGTCTTGTCATAGTAGTTGCTGGGGTCTCCGTCACAGGTCGCTGTGTGGGCTTTATCCTGGGGGTCAGACAAGTTGGTGAGGTCAGGTCGGTCCCAGACATCCACGCTCCCCTCCCCCTCCAGTCCCAGGAGGCCTGGTACCCACTTGCTGGCAAGGCCAGGCCTGAGATGGAGCCTCGAAAAAAAAAAAAAAAAAAATCTGACGAAAACTGCCTTTAGGCTTCTCTATGAGGGGTGGTGGCAACTCTGGCCCTCCCATGGCTCAGACCAAAAGCAGAGGCGTCTCCCTTGTCTCTCCCCACCCCCATCTCTCATCAACCCATCAGCAAGTTCTTTTGGTCTTCCTCTTACCATCATCCCTACTGACCCCACCCTGTCACAGTCACCATCTCCTCTCCCTTAGATTCACACAGGTACCTCCGCCCTGGTCTCTAGGATGGACCCAGCAATGAGAATTTCTGGTAAACTTACCTGTGGAAGTCTAAGCTGCCCCACAGAAAAGCACACAGCACCCAAGTGTGTACATCCCCTGTGCGGCTTTGTTTTCGGTTGGTTTGTTTTGTTTTTCATGGGGCACTTGCATGAGAAAGAGGAGGGGAGAGTGAGAAATCACCCCCAGGGAGGATGGCCTTGCCACAATCCCTTCTTCACTCTCCTCTTGGGATTTTGGGCACACAAACACACATATCCAGAGTGTTTTTCAAGCCGCTGGGTACGGAAATTGAACCTTGAAGTCAGGCATGTGGGGTCTAGCTGCCCTAACCACCACACCACCTGCTGGCCCCGGCCACTGCGCTGTTACCACACACTGCAGCCAGCTCCCAGAGCGACAAAGAGGGCCTTGTCTGTGCCCCACATCCTCCCTTCCCACACACTCCCCCAACAGGTACCCTCTACCCTGACTTCTGCTCCACAAATAGGTTCAGCCCTTGCAGAAGGCTTCTTTAATTCAATATTATATATATTTTTAAATATTTTTTTAAACTTTATTTATTTATTTTAATTTGACCAGAGAGGAATAGAGTGAGAGAGAGAGGGAAAAAGAGAAAGCAAGTCACCAGGTCAGGTCCGGGACTCGAACTGCAGTCGGTCACGTGGGAGTCCAGCACCCTTAACCACCACGCCACCTGCCAGTCCCTAATTCAATATTACATTATAAGAAGCATTCACATTGTTACAAAGAGCCATCTTCATCTTATCCATTGCTTTGCAGCATTATAACACATCACACAAACACACAGAACTTACTTATCTGTTCTGATCTTGATGGACATTGGGTGTCAACCTTTTTTTTTTTTTTTTTTTTTTTTTTTTTTAGGGTTTTTCTCAGCGGCCCCCAGAGAGGTAGAGAGACAGAAAGCGAGAAATCACCCCCAGGGGGGCTGGCCACGCCGCAATCCCTTCTCCTCCATTCTCTTCTCAGGATCTTGGGCACACATGCACACGCGCCCAGCCTGAGTTTAAGCCACCGGGTCCATTTGGTGCCCAAATGTACACATTTGTGTTGGATATATACCTGTGAGTGGAAATACTAGATCATGAGCTATGTCTCTCCTCTGCTCAGATAGATTCTCCATTTAGTTTTCTAAAGTAGCTGTACCAGTCAGCACGTCGTTACGGTATACGAGACTTCTAACTGCTCTACATATTTGTCAGCACTTGGTGTTGTCAGGTCTTGAAACTTCAGCCATTTTGCTGAATGCGTTGTGATACGTCATGAGGAGTTTCATGGGGTTTTTTATTACTTTTTTAATTATCAGAAGGCACATGCACTTACCAGAGAGAGAGAAAACAAACACCCCACAATCCTTTTTCCTCCATTTCTCTACCCCATCGGGAGTTTTTGCACACATGCACACATGACAGCCATGTTTTTCAAGCTGTCAGGGCCAGGATTTGAACCACAGCCATGTGTGATTTGGCTTTCTTTTTTTTTCTTTTTTCTTTTTTTTAAGAATTACTTTATTCAACTTTATTTATTTATTTTAATTTGACCACAGAGGGACAGAATGAGAGAACGAGAGAGAGCGGGAAAGTGAGGAAGCAAGCCACTAAGTCTGAGGCTTGAACCATGGTCGGCCATGTGTGAGTCCAGCATCCTCAACCACCATACCACCTGCCGGCCCCGTGATCTGTCTTTCTTAACCACTGAGCTACAGGGCTTTGTTTTCTCATTTTCTTTTAAGAATTATTTACTTAACTTAATTTTAAAAATTATTTTATTTAACTTTATTTATTTATTTATTTATTTGTTTGTTTTAATTTGAACAGAGAGGGACAGAGTGAGGGGGGGGGTGAGAAAGGACTCAAACTGAAGTTGGCCACGCGGAAGTCCAGTGCCCCCAACCACCATGCATCTGCCGACCCCAACTTAATTTTTATTACAATTTCTTTTGCTATAGGGTATATGTGCTCACCAGAGAGAGAAAGTGAGAAAGCAAGTTACCAAGTCTGGAACTCAAATCGTGGGCAATCATATGGAAGTCCAACACCTTAACCACCACGCCACCTGCTGGCCCCTATTTTTATTTATTTATTTATTTTTATTTATTTTTTAATGACAGAGAGTGTGTTCATGAGAGAGAGAGAGAGTAGGAATCCCCCAGCGAGGTCTGGTCACACTGCAATCCTCCTTTCCTCCACTTCCCTACCCTGTCAGGATCCTGGGCCCATAGGCAGGCACCCAGTGTGTTTTTCAAGATGGGGCTGGGATTTGAACTAAGCACAGTCATGCAAGATCCAGCTCCCTTTGCACAACCCTTAATTGCCACACTTCAGGACTGGCCTGTTGTGTTTTTTATTTGCATTTCCCTGAGAAGTAATGTTGTTGGGAAAGTGGAGAAATCACCCCCAGAGGGGATGGCCACACCACGATCCCTTCTCCTCCACTCTCCTTTTGTGATTTTGGGTACGCCCAGTGAGACTCAAGCCACCTGATCCAGGACTTGAACTGTGGTTGGCCATGTGGGAATCCAATGCCTTAACCACCATGCCAGGAGTAAGAGTTTTGTTTTGTTTTGTTTTTCCTACCAAAATCCCCCACGTGCTTCCAGGGTTCTTTAAAAGGACAGCCGCTGCATTGTTAGGAAGGGTTCAAGAGAGGAATTTCTCTGGTGAGATCCTGGGGAAGGAATTTTATCCTTCCTGGTTACTATGGCTTGAATGTCCCTTCAAAATTTATTTGTTAAAATTTGGCTGTGATGAGATTAAAAGAGTAAAAGCTTAATCTAGCCATGATGTTGAGAGGAGGGGTCTTTGGGAGGAGATTAGGACTAAGGTCATTCGAGAGGGGCCCGTGTGATTGAAGCCTGGTGGGTTTATATGGAGAGGGGTTGAAACAAAGACACATGGACACGATGCACCTGCTCCTACTGCCACCTGCTCTGATGCAGGAGACCCTTGCCACATGCAACCCTGGGCCTCGGACCTCCATACCATGAGCTAAATAAACCTCTGTTTCTGTAAGTTACCCAGACTTAGCTGTTTTCCATTATTAGTGACAGAACAGACTAGAACACTATAAGAATGACAAAGAAGACCAAAATGGGTCTCCCCAGAGACATGAGAGAGAATTCTTAAGAGTGAGGAAAGGGGAGAGGGAGGGAGAAAACTGCATTCCACTCCCATGTCTTCAGCCTGCAAGACAATGCCTGGCAGAGAGGACATGGACTCTTGTGGGATGTGGGGCTTTCCTGGTTCTGGGAAGGAAAGCAGATGCCATTGTCCTCCAGGAGAGAGGCCTGGCTGGCCTAAGGGGGCTCCCTGACTCTTCACTCGAGGGGACAGGGAAACCAACAGGCGAATATATTTGGTGTGGTCAGGGAGCAGCAAGGAGCCAGAGTGACTGGCAGGTGGACGCTGGGGATGCCGGTTACAGCATTCATTTTTCTATTTTTTTTTTTTTTTTTTGCACATCTGAAACATGTCACCACACTAATTTGAAAGAGTAACTACAACCTGACATGTGCACAACACCGTCACAAGGCACTGGTGTCTCCCTTCCAATGTCATCCGGGTTCAGGGTCCTGAGAACACCTTCCTACCTCACCCCCACACCCAGGCCCTCCCTTCAGCATTCTCCAGGCACCCGGGGGGCTCCTGGGAGCCTCTCCCAGGAACAGGGACCTGCCAGGACAGCGCAGAGTCTTCCTGACCTGTGGCATCTCACCGGGCGAGCTCGGAAGCCGATAGTGGGGAGGGCTGGGGTGTGAGGGCTCACCCTGGTGTGCCTGCTGAGTGTGTGGGAGCCCTGGGCCCTCAGCCTGGGTTCCCCACCTGCTCTGCCTGCTCACCTCCTTGACAGCTATGGGAGTTGCAGTGCCATGGGCTGGGCCCAGCTCACTCTGCTGGAGCCTCGGGCAATCAAGAGGAATCTGGCTGCTTCCTCTTACCCCAGGTACCACATCTTGGATTGACAGAAAGGTGGGGGTACGGAGGAGAATAGGGAGCCCATGGTGGTGGGTATCAGTCCCGAGTCTGACCTGGGTGCCTGTTTTCACACAGCTCCTCCACACCGCCACTCGTGGGGCCAGATCACCACTTTATGTTATAGGTAAGGACTGCAGCTCAGAGAGGGGTAGGCACTTGCCCAAAGTCACATAGCAAATAAATGTAGTGAGGAGATTTGAGCCTTCCTGTGTCCCCAGTTCTCTCCCCTCTCAGGGTCATGGCCTGATCATCTTTAAAATTTAAAAAGTTCAGCGAACTGAGAAGGGCACCATTTCACCTCTGTGGTCTTCATACCAAAGTCCATGCTCGGGGACCAGCAGCTGGCATAATGGCTATGTTGCTGGACTCCCATGTGCGTGTGTGCCCAAGATCCCGAGAGGAGAATGGAGGAGAAGGGATTGCAGCGTGGCCATCCCCCCGGGGGTGGGGGGTGATGTCTCGCTTTCTGTCTCTCTGTCTCTCTCTGTCTTTCTGGCGAGCGCACGTGCCTTATAGCAAAAACCTCTCCAAAAGAAAAAAAAAAAAATCCATGCTCTAAATCAAATCATAAGGAAACGTCAGACAAATCTGAACAGAGGGCCTTTCTGCAAAACTCCTGACCGGGGGGG